GAGCCGCTAGTCGCCCCCTTCCGCCCTGGCTCCGGAGCCCGTTGGGGGAAAGCTGCCCGGCTGGGTCGCAGGCCCTGGGCCCACGTGCTCCCTCCAAGGAGGCAGGCCCCACATTGCTTCCCAGCTCAGTGGCCTGAGCAGGGAGCAGGCCCAGCGGGAGGAGCTGAGCAGCCGGGGGGCTTGGCCTCAAGCTGGGGGGAGCCCAGGGGGCTGGAGAGGCAGGCAGAGGTGGAGAGAGGGCTCAGGCCGCAGGGAGAGGGGTGGGGCAGGGAGGCCAGGAACCCCACAGCTATCAGCACAGCAGCCCTCCAGGAGCCAGCCCCACGTGCTGCAGGAGGAGCCTCCGGCCCAGGCAGGCCACAAGAGCCCAGGGACAGTGCCCAGCAGCACCCCCGCGCACCCCAGGGAGATGCTGCGTGGAGGCAAAGGCTGACCCCATGGCGTAGCGCTTTGGGACAAGGCGGGGCGAGGCAGCTGGGCAGCAGGTGCAAAGATGCCAAGCAGCTGGTGTAGGCCCGAGGGGCAGCGGGAGGGGTGCAGCCCTCGGGGGCGCTCCGGGCCTGTGGGTCCAGCTCCCCACATCAGCCCGTCCTGCGCTGGCTGCCTGATGCAGACCACGGCCCGTGCAGCTCTGCCCTCCCTGTCGCACCCTTCCTTGCCAAGCCCTGGGCAGGTCCAGGCTCCCGGCACACAGACCAACGGTCTAACCCGGCCTCTGTCTTCCGACCCTGGCCACTGCCAGGTGCTTCCAAGGGAATGGACAGAGCCAGGCTGTTATTGAGTGACCCAGAGCGACACCCCCAGCCTGGGGCGGGCTCCCAGACCACCCTGGCTACTAGCTGCCTATGGACCTGGCCTCCGTGAACATACAAATTCTTTTCCGAGCTCAGTTGCACTTTGGGATCATCCTGCACCTGTTCAGTCTGAATGGGTCTTTCTGAACGCCCAGCGCCTGGTTCGGTGCGAACGCTTCCCTGCCACTCCTGGAAATACCTCCCCCGCCGCGTCTTCAAACCAGACTGGCCTTTCTTGTGGGCCCATCACGCCGGCAGCTCACAGGCATCCCGCGACCCAGCAGGTCTTTCTCCCCCGTCACAGTCAACTGAGAGCAAACTGATTGCCAGGGTCACCCCCAGAGCCACATAGAAAAATGGCATCCGCTATCCTCCTGCCATCTGCTCAGAGGCTGCTTTGAGCCAGAGGTTGTGTCCCACAGTTCGGAACGCTGCACTTCCCCCCTGAGTTCCTGCAGAGCTCTCAGTCACCCCCCCGGGCCGAGTGATGTTTTCCTGTTTGAGTTCTCAGCGTGTTCCCAAACCTCCCTGCTATGGCCACCTCAATCTGAGCCGCTTCCTCAGATCTGTCACCTGCTACAAATGGCTCAGGCCTCCCGTGAAGCCTGATGCAAAACATTCACCTAGCTTCTGCCGCCGTGGCCGTGGGAAGTCACAGAATGCTCCTTTAGCGCCTTGATTGTCCAGTGCCCCCGCGGACTGGCTGCCTCCCCACGTCTGAGGGATGTACCAAGTTTGTGCTGTTCCTGTGTCTCTTGGCAGCTGCTCTTCCAAGTCTTTTATGGCCCAACTGCACTTGAGTCGCCAGAAGGATCTGCCTTCCAATTTGTAAAGGATACCTTTTTGCCTCGAGCGGCCTCCTTTTCTCTGCTGCTTAGCCCCAGTGTCATTTTTGGTCCCCTTACTCCTTTGTCATTGGGTGACGCCATTTAATTTGTGCCTCTCAAATAGTTTGAATGCAGCCTGCAGGCCTTTCCTGATTGGGACCATGGCTTTTCATTTCCCTTTAATTAGCCTCCTCATTTTTGTGTCGCGCCCCTTTTTGAAGTGCGTGGCTACGGTGGTGGGCTTCCTTGGTAGCTCGCCCTCGCAGGATGCTACATTTAATTACATTATGGTAATCGAGCGGCCCAGCTAGAGTCACCTCTTGGACCAGACCCCATGCCCCGCTTAGCACTAAATCCAGGCTCGTCTCTCCCCCGGTGGGTTCCAGGACTAGCTGCTCCAAGCAGCAGACACTTTCTCGCCGAATCCTGCCCTGCCGGGACAGGTCCGTGAGACGATAGTTCAAATCCCCCATTAGCACGGAGCTTTGTGTTCTCAGAGCTGGGCTGGGGAGCCCAGTGAGAGCGACTCCCTCCATCTCATCCCCCCCTCCCCGGCCTGGCAGCAGGAGATCAGACTCCACTTGCCGCGCCGGGCACTCTGCTTCCAGAAGCACAGGCAGGCTGGCAGGACCCCGGGCGGCTCAGGCTGCCTGGCAGGGCAGAGGGCTCTGAGAAAGCTCTGGCGTATGGGCAGCGCCTCGTTCCTCGCCGCCCTCACGCCAGCCTGCCCCGTGACTCAGACCTTTCGCACGGCTGAGGTCTCGCCCCCACCCCGAGCCCCCGCAGGGATCCCAGCCCCCGGGAGGAGCGGCCTTTGCTTCAGCTGGAGCTCAGGTGAAGGTTCTCCCAGGAAGGCGCATGAAGTGCCTGTGGACAGCAGAGATGGAGCAGCCAGGCCCGAGCCCCAGCCAGGCTCAGCGACCGCCTGGAAGGGGCAGAGGGGTCCCTGTTAGAACCCACCTGGCAGCGAGACCCGGCAGCCCATATCTGGACACCCTGGGGTGCCTCCCTCCCTCTGTGGTGCCCTGAACAGAGCGAGAACATTCCCCTCCGATGGCCTGGGGCCCGTCTCGCTTGACCCTTTCCCAGCTGGGGCAGAGGCCGGCCCAGGCTGCGCCCAAGGACGTGAGCCCGGGGCTAGTCTCACAGCAGGGTCCAGGCACCACGCGTGGCGGGGGGGGCTCCGTGGGACGCAGGGCCATGCCCTCGGCTGGCAGCGAGCCGCTCTCAGGAGGTGCCAGGCGTTCGGCGGGTCAGGAGGGTTACAGCCAGCTGGGCACGGGGCTCACTCCACGCCAGCGGCTGAGCCAGGCCCACGCTCCCTCGGCGGGCACATGGCAGCCTCCCACCCCACAGCCCCCTGCCACGGCTGGCAGCCCGGGGCCCAGGCCAGCTGGTTAATCGGTGACTGTAAACCGGAGCAGGATCAGAGCCACAAGGGTTTGGCTCATCCGATTCCTCCCCCTCCCAGGCCCCTGCCCTCTGCTTGTGCCAAACCAGATGCAGCCACTGGCCGGGGGCTGCGCTCAGCAATGAAAGGGGCTGGAGGAGCGATTTTACTTCCCACCTGACAGCCCAGGGCTGCAAGGGCTCCAAGCCCCCAGGCCCCAGCCTGCAAACCGCCAGGTGAGGCACCTTGCAGCCGTGGCACCGATTTGAGTCCGTTTCGGCCTCCCCTCCGCGCCCATCTTACCCGCAAGGTGTCTCCATGCCAGCCGGCAGGGGCAAAGCTGCAGGGCGTGTTGCCACGGCTACCAGCCCCGCTGACACCGGAGCCCTGGCCCCGGCTCGCTGCTCCGCTCACCCCTCCCCCAGCTGTGCACACGGCTAGTCCCCACCCAGTAGCCCGGGACCAGCTGGGAGAGCCGCTGTCGCGTCTGGTCCTGGGCAGCGGCGTCTCTGCCTGTCCTGCCCATTGCACGAGGGGGCCTGGCCTGGGGCGAGGGTGTCCCAGAGCTGCCTGGCAACTGGGGGAGGGGCGCGGCCCCCACCCCGTCCTCTCCTAGCCCTGGCAAGTGGAGAGGCTCAGGGCTGCCGGAGGAACTGCTCTCCCCAGGCCCTGCAGGGTCGATTCCTGGTCCAGGGCTTCGGGCCAGGAGGCCTTGGCTGGCTGAGGGCTACAGCCCACACACAAGGCCACTCCACAGCGTTTGCTGCAAGGGGGCCCTGGGGAGGAGTGCTGGGGGCTGAGGCTGGCTTGGCCACCCCCCTCGCCTGCCAGGCAGCCC